AGTTTTTTTTTTGTGACGAAATAATTTTCGACGAAATGAACTTTCGATGAAACAAACTTTCGACGAAATGGGTGTCGACGAAATGACTGTCAACGAAATGAATCAGACCCGTATTTATCATATTAAGCTCTTCCTTTACATTTTATTCATATGTAAATAACAATAAAGCAACAATAATACACCAATTATATCAGAAGAAAAAATATTTAATAAATTTTCAAGGCTGTGTTATATTTTTTAATGCACCAGTAAAGAAGGATATTTTTTTCATTAAAATGCAAAAAAATTTTTTTGTTAAAAAAAAGCACTAGTAATTTATGAATAACTCTACAAAAATGTAACCATCTAGAATAGGTGGTTATAGGAACGATTCTTAGATGGTAGTGAGTGGTACAGGAAGAACAAGATCCATAAAAAAAACAATAAATCCAATAATTGTGGGATAATAATATATTATTTAAATATAATCACAACTATCTGAAGAATAGATATATACATACACATAGTAACAAATTTTATTGATATTAGGCTTTACTACTTAATAAATATCAAGTGATATATATATAGTTCACTCTCTATAATGGACCCATTTGGCTTACAAAAAAATGCCTGCAATGATTTATATATGGGTTATATAAATCGAGCTTAAACTCTTATTTCTTTATAGAGTAAGATCTATTATAGAGAGATCCATCGTAGAAAGATAGCAATAGAGAGAGATCCGTTATATAGGGAGTGAACTATAACTATGTGAGTTGAGAATTTGTGCCATCTGAAATTTTTCTTTTAATATTAAGAAGAAAAAAATTATTTAATTAGCTCACTGTCATCTAACAATTCACATGAAATAACTACTTTTGTCAATTGATGCAATTGAAGATAGTGAGAAGAGCATTTTAAGCGCATGTTGCATTTTTTCTATATTTGATTGGTTTCTTACAATGTTTTTTAGGAGGTAGTACAGGTGGTTTAATACCATGCTAATTAATCAATAAATATAATCAATAAGTAGTCAATAAATTATATATTAATTATTTCTAACAATAAAAAAAATTGTTTACTTTTTTAACCCTGTGTCGAGGTTCATATTTTTTAGCAAATTTAGCATTTTCGTATATTAATGCAAACCCATTAGAGCGATTTCCATCATATGTAGTTCTCATAGCAATACAAAGACAACATCTTTGTTGACTCCAAACATTTTAACAAATTTGGGTTCGAATTTCACTATTTGTTAAACTGGGTTCGTTGGGGTGTAAAACATCAATTACTAATTGTACTACTACTAATAATAATGATTTTACCACCGTTGCTCCATTAACATCATCGAATGCATTAAAGCTTGTTAAGCCAACAACAATTGATTTACCTCGTACTAAATGTGTGCTTATTGTTGCCGACTTATCAAATTCTCGTAAAGCCATAGTTCATTATGTTTGTTCGATTCTTCCAAAAACACCTGTACCCGAGATTGACATTGCTAATGATTACGCCGAAGCTTATGAAAAAATCAGCAATTTAAAATTTTATTCGCACATTTTGATAAATTTAGTTTCACAATCACACGTGATCTCACTTGCATCAACCATCAAACATTCAAATCACTTATCACTAACAGCGACTGTGATCTTAACTACACAGATACAACGTGCTGGTATAGTTGAAGGGGCACAAGGTGAATTTCCAGAACATGTTGATTTTATTTTCAAGCCATTGAACAGGAGTAAAATGGAGGGGTTGTTTGATGATACGACCACTTTCAGAGATAGTTTCTTGAAGAGAAGAAACACACATAAGGTTGTTGCTAGTCAAAAAGAAGTTTTTCAAAGAATGGCTGAAGATGTTGGCGATCGAGGATATAAAGTTTTATTGGTAGAAGACAATTTTGTAAATCAAAAAGGTTGTTTTCTTCATCCAAACATTCAAACATTAAGATTTTTCAATTATCACATTTATTTTCTTATTTATTTATAATTTATTTATTTTTTTAATAGTTATAACAAAATATCTTACAAAGGTAGGATTAGAAGTAACTGTAGCTGTTAATGGTGATCAATGTTTAGAACAATTTTTTTCGCATCCTCATAATTATTTTTCTTTTATTTTGGTAAGAAATTTTAATTTTGTTTTATATCTCAATTATATTGTTGTTATGTGGGTTTTTATTAATTCAATTTTAATATATTGTTTATTTAAAAAGTGTGATCTGTTTATGCCCAAAAAAGGTACGTATAAATAGATCATGTGATTAAAATAATTGCATAATTTTAACTCTATTTATTAATAAATAATAAATAGATGGTTATGAAACAACGATCGAGATTAGAAAATGGGAAGCTGAAAATTTAAAAGATTTAGATGACGACACACCAATCCCAATAATAGCATTGTCAGCAAATGTAATGTCCGATGTTGTTTCAAGATGCTTAAAAGTAGGATTTACAGATTATGTCAGCAAACCTGTAAATTTTGCAATTCTAAGTAATGTAATAAGAAGCATATTGAAACTTGATAACAAAAATGTAACAACTAAATAACGAAAATAGAGGTGAAAGTGATGAACCTTTTGTTGTTGTAATTAATTTTTTTGCATACACTTTACGCGCAAGAAATCTCACCTTTTTTTTACTACATATTTTTACAAACATACCTAATTATTATAATCATTTTATTATAAATATATTTATCGTTTTGTGTTTTTATAACACTAACATATATTATTATTATAAAATCATTACATGCATCCAACATCATATACACGTCATACAAACGCATTAAAATATTTATTTTTCAAAAAAAAAAGACATCTTTTCAATCAATTATATATATAATACACCTTTAGAAATCAATTACATTATTTAAATAGATGTTTAATTTTTAAAAAAAATTTATGTATAAATAATGATAATAAAAATAAATCCGATCAATTCATTTTTAGTGAAATTGTTTGTTTCTTTTTTTTGGGAAACATGAAATGTAAATAAATAATTTATCACATCTCCAAGGCACCATTTTTAATAGCTTCTTCCACTTCTTTAACTTCATCCTCCATAATTTTACTTCTCCTCAATGCTTTCTTTGCTTCATCCAATTTACCTGCTTTTTTAAAAAACAATGCTAATTTCTTGCAATTAACAATACTTGCTTTTACTCTTTCAATATATTCAGCCATGGTTAATTCATTTGTTTGTACAGATATTAACAATAAATTCATTTTGATTTCTAATTCATTTTGCCTATCTAACAAATCCTCTGGTATTGGTTTCCTTTGTGCTTCCAATGTAGTTATCTGATTGGTGATAAGTTCAATCTCATTTTGAAGAACTAGATTAGACGCAATATTTTCAACACTAAAATAGTAAAAGAAAGAGAAAGAATGTGTTCCTTTAGTATCATAAAATTTTTTTTGTTTTAATTATTAGAAAGAAATAAAAAAATTGCCTATTAAGTTGTTCTTCTGCTTGTTCTAACTCATCCTTTCCTGTATCTGATATTTGAGTAACACGATTTGATTTTTGTGGTGTTGTTGAAGGTGCTTGTTTTTCGATGGTTGTTGCTTTTTGTTGTAAATTAGCATCAGTGACTGCGGAAGTTTTAGCAGTTGCTTCAATTTTAATATTTTCAGTATTACTAATAGCTTCAGTATTACTTGTGATGAGAGATTGGGAGACATTTTGTTCTTTTGTTTTTGAAGAACTCGCCACAGATGCAGGAGGCGGTGATGATGATGACGTCGTTGGTTTTTTTGGGGGGGATGTAACTGAATCTGATTCAATAAAATTTTTTTGTTGTTGGCTTTCTGTAGAACTACTTGTTGTTGTTTCTGTCGTCGCTGTTGTTAAATCTTTTGTTTCCAATTGTGATTGTGATGAAACACTAAAAGTTGGGTTGACAGGTGTTGCATTAACTGTTGCTGCTGTTGCTGTCACTGCTGATGAGGAAGAAGATTTTGCTGGTGATGAAGATGTAGTAGATATAGATGAAGATGTTAAACTTGTGAAATCTTTGTTAAACTCATCAATTATGAGCCATTTTTCAGTTTTTGTTATAATTTCAGATTGAGAATACGGTGTTCTGAGACGTATACGTATTTCAAGCTTTCCACCTGTAGGTTTACGAACGTGATCCACAAGCTGAAGTATTTTAATAAAAAAACTTAATACTATTATTTCAAAAAGTTTGTATCGTCAATTAAATGTTAAAACATTAACTTATATATTAGAATTCAACCTCAAGTACATCATGTATTTCAGATTTTTTAAGTAATGTATCCAATTTAATAGTTGCTTTTCCAAGCGAAATTGATTTTCGTAAGAAGCCTTTGTAATGAAATACTTCAAATGTTGCTTTTTTTCGTTCCAAATATCTTTGAAATGGTCTTGAACGAACGATATCGATTCTTTTTTTAAAGTTAAATTCTTGAGTATTATATATATGTATATGTATTAATGTTTTTAAAAGAAATTTAATGATAGATTATTTAATATAGTGCAATTATCATACCTGGATTCATTCCACGATCAGAAGTAGAGGTATCACCCTTCCCACTTCCCGCTCCAGGACTACCTTCTGGTGGCCATGCGACATTCCAATTGACATAAGCAACAACATCATTACCATTTACTTCCTTATTTCCTAAATTCCAAGCTCTTTCAATGCAAATTTCCATATCATTTGCAGCCAATTCCGGGAAAATGTTTTCTATCTCATAACTAACTTCTTGATAATGAAAAGCAGGGACATCTTTATCGTGGTTACTATATGAAACCAACGAGTTTAAATCTGCTTTAAAAGAATTTTTATATCGAAGATAAAGAGCAGCTTGTTTTTTATTTCCAGATTTTAAATAATGAGCTGCAATAGTATGACACAAAGAACTTTGCGCTTCAAGTTGTGTTTGTAAATGAGAGTACTGTTCTTTTTTTGACATTTGCGTGATCATTATTTTCTTTATTATTATTTTTCAAAGATAAAAATTACGTCATCGTCAACATTGTAATACAATTTAGCTAAAAGGCATCAATTGCTGCGCCGCGCGCAATCCAAAAATAGTAATAGCGATGATGTTCTTTGAGTGTCACGATATTATAAAATCACATGACTCAAGCATTTGTCGTTACTATTACATTGAAAGTTTATTTGAATAAAACGAATAATAAAAGAATAATCCGAATAAAATAAATAACTAATAATTCGAATAAAACGAATAAAACTAAAAAACGAATAATTCGAAACTCTAATATTCATTCGGAGCATCGAAATATTTATTTAATGATTAAAGAGTTGTTAGATAATAAAAAAATTACATATATAAATAGGGATGTTAACAGTCTGAACCATGGACCGAGTCGGTCTGGTCTTAGGTATCAAAGACCATTTAAATGTTGAATTTTTTTTATCATAAAGCATTTATTTCAATTTTATTTGTTAAAAATATTATTTTATTATCATTACTCAATACCGAATTATTAATATATTCAAAAAAAAAAAAGAACATATGGGGACTGTTCTAGGAAAACACGGGTTAGAGCTCCCAGATTCAAAAATGAGAAATTTATACCAAATTAAT